TCTTTTTCAAATCTTCCACTTCTTTTTTTTTTGAAGCAATTTTTTCTGCGATGTGCTTTGCGAAAAAATTCTTGACTATTTGGTTTTCTTCCTTAGACCAATTTTGTCTCTGAGAAGGTTTTCTTTTTTTTAAAACTGTGCGGGTCTGATGATCTGAAATGAGATATATTGAAAACCTTTATCAAATATTATACGGGTTGAAAATGAACCAACTTCAGCCTCTTTTAGTATTTATTAATCTCAAATGAATTGAAATGAAACTTGCGTTATAAAATATCGGTTTTCGTTTCATTTCAAGAAAAATATTGCATATTTAACACATTTTTTGGACTTGAGATTTTCCAACATTTTCATTATTGAAAACTCTCCGGAAAGATTGACGTTACTGGAAAGTGATTTGACTCCTTTCCAGCCTGAACTCACAGATATATGGATCATTCCAAAAATAACTCAAAATATAAATAATTAATTGCAATAGTTGAATATTTTTTAATATAGCATAATTTTTCTGAAAGGACAAACGTTTAATATCTCCAAAAATAAGACATGTTAATATCCCGAAACACGTACATTTTTATGAAATTTTATGAGGTATCGCTAAAATGCGTATCACTTACTCCTCTACACACAATCCTCTTCAAAATATCAAACAAAATAACCTCATATGTGGTATCTATTGGAGAGGTGATTTTATGAGGAATTCAACGAGAATTTTTTTGAGGTTGGTTTCTAATTTACTGTGAAGGAGGACCTTGAAGTTTTTTAATTGAATCCACCATTTTTTTGTATCAAGATGGAAGGGTAGTAAGCCAAAAATCGTCTTTTCCAAAAAAGACCTTGAAGTATAAACGAACGACCCTTCAGATTCATTGATACAATCTCTCACAAAAACTTATACACCAGTTATTTCCATTATCAACTGTCTAACCGAAAACAACTTTTGTCCCATGCTCCGGTGAATTATATCTGTTGGATTTTTGGCAAAGTTCCTCACAAGAAACACTTTAAAATACTTTCTAAAATTCACAGCCAAAAATGTTTCGATACAAATGGGAGAACTCCTTCGTAAAGATTTCATGATAATTGGTAATTATTAGCGAAAGATAGACTGGTTTAAGTAACAAAACTTTGAAGAAGAAGCCAGGTTCAATACCAATGAAAGCTCCATGGGTAAAAATTCTCCACAGTTGGAATTCGATGCAAACTGAAAAAAATGTTCAAATAATGAACAAAACTCTGTTCATTTCCTACACATTTGTATTGACATTTTTTTTCTACGCAAAATATTTTCAAATCGAAGATGCCTCTTGGACATTTAGCAATATTCAAATTCAAAAGAGAACACCTTTATGAGATTCAAAAGCAAAATAATCGACGTAGAAAAAACTAATGTGTTCAATTCTGCCATCATGTACTGCTCCCCCGTTTCACTTAGGGCATTGGAGAAATGGTTCATTGTCTCCCCTTGATAAACACATACCTACCTGAGCTATTACCATCTGATTTTTGGAGATATTCTGGGTCGGTCCACCAAAAAATCACTCTGTATTGGTAATAATATTAAACCAATGGTTGAAAAAACAAAGTGGGAATATGAATTAAAAAAACTACCTTCAAATACCTTCATCAGAGCTGGAAGAACCTGGAATAAATTCTTCTTCGCTTGTGTGACATTTTCTAGTCGCATTGCAAGAATCTGATTCACTTTCTTGTTCATTGATAATTTTAGTGGAGGTATGTTTTCTGATTATCGTCTTCGTCTCTTTACTGGAACTTTCATATTTGACTTTTGATTTATCCTCCATCAGCGGACGATTTGTTTTCGGAATGTTCGTTGACTCATGGTCTGAATCATCTGATGAGTCTATATCGCTGAGGTTTACCTCATCCAGAGATTTTCCTTTGTATCGGCTCCCTTTTCCTTTGTTGATAGCAATAAGTATTTTTGATACCTTAGCGGTTTGAAATAAGTCCTGAGGTAACCTGAATATATTATTATTATTATTGGTGATGATGCTCCTAGTAGTATTACAATAATAATTCCTACTCCTGCTTCGAAAAAAAGTTTCCGAAATTGATTTTGAAACTAATTCAGTGAAGGAATAGTCAGAAACGTGAAATTGTTTATTATGTTTCGGGGGTATACACTCCCATCCTCAGTGTGATAACATAAAGAAACAGATAAAGGTATAGAACATAAATGTGCAATAAGCTTAACAATTCAGTCCAGATAGGAAAGAATTATCGAGTTATGGGGGTTATCAGGACTTAATGTTTTAACTTTTTGAATATGTTCTAGATCTTCCTCTGTTTATGTATGTTACCATACTGAGGATGGAAGTATATACCCTCGAAAGGTTTTTTTTTAATTTCATTCAATAAAAATACACGTCTGTTGAGATGATTCTGCCTTCATTGAATTGTAGTACTCAAATTTAAGGATGGACTACTTCACCGTATTGAAACTAATTGTTTACAGCAAATATGTGGCAAAATACCTACCAAAGTGTGCAGCAAAATACATAGCAAACTTTCCAATTTCGAGTGAAATCAGTAAGAATTTCCAATTTTGAATTCGGAATTTAATAAAATTAAGAGGTTTGTGTCGGAATTTAATAAAGTTCCGAGTCTGAAGTGGGAATTCAATGCAATTCAAAATTAGGAATTTATAAAAGTCAATAAGATTTCAAATAAAATTCAATCTCGGAAGTTTATAAAATTCTGGCCTCAAATGTGAAATCTTATTGAAGACCGACTTTAAATTTGGAATTTTATAAAATTCAAATTTCAAACTTGGACGTCATTCGGAGTTCGACGTCGGAAGTTAGTGACTTTAACAATTCATCATGTGTTTTTATTACAAATATTAGAACGATAACATTATTTGTTCAAATCAATCAATGTTACCCACAAAATTATCAAAAGAAAAAGAGTTGCACGATTACTAATTATACAGGGTGTTTATCAAACATGCGACAAAAAATTAAGGGACTTTTCTTCGATATTTTGTCCTTTGATGATTTTTGATAGGGCGCCGTGTTTCGAAAAGAATTTCGAACAATTTTGATGATTTTAAAATTATTAACGTAGCCGAAATGAAAGTATAGCGTACTACACTGGACATACCAAGTAATAAAAAATACCTATACACAACATTTCGACTACTATACAAACAGCTGCAGACATTCAATTTGAATAGTAACGATCCCTGTGTTTTTGAAAGAGTTCGGGGGTCGATGAGGAGAAGATTGGATTCTTGTATCCGAGCGGGGGGTAGTCATTTTCAACAGTTCTTGAAGATTAAGAAACATTACATGTAATTTTTGGTCATAAATTATTATTGTCGAAATTATTTTTCGCTCCGTATCTTCGAGACAAAGCGCCCTATGAAAAATTATCAAAGTACAAAATATCCTCAGAATAGTCCGAGGGATAGTCCTTTAAATTTTGCCACATGTTCAATAAACACCCTGTATATTTTTTTAATTACGGTATATTCATTCGATTTTCTACAACAACAATGTTTCTTTCGCTGGATAGAGTGGAAGTGCTTGATATTCCACCTACTCAAGAATGTTCTAATTAATTAATTAACGGAAAATTATTTTGCATAGAGTATTCTATGAAGTATTAAGCAATAGTGGTGGATTTCTATCCTCAAAACACTTTTCGTTCTAAGTTTAGAAAAAATAGTGGTCGTAATACGTGGTAAAATGTTCGTATCAAACTCAAATAACTTCATCTATTGTATGTTTCCTTTCGACAAAATGGCATTTCTAAAACTTTTCATACCAATAATCATATTTATTTCCAAAATGAATTCACTGCAAAATCCCAATTTTTTTTGAAAATTTCAGAAAACTATCAATTTCATCAGTGAGATTCACTGAATTATTTTTTCAATGAATCAAACAATGATCATCGATCATTGAACGTGAATATTTACAAGTAAATACAAAAAAGAAGATTTACACATAAAACAAATTGATAAAATAGTGGTGGAGGATTCCCAATAATCTGATTTCAAATTTCTCCAATTAAGTTCCAATAAAGGCTCAACAGTTGTTATATTAACAGTCATGAAAATTATAAAAAAGTTAGCTAATGTTTTAGCCTTCAGCAAATTCGGAAAAAACAGCTAACTTTTTTTTTCACTTCCATGACTGGTAATATAACAACTCTTGAGCCTTTATTGGAACGTCGGAGAGAAAATTATAGTTCTACAAAACATTGATTCAAGTTCTAACAAAGTTCCTGGTGAAGAAATAATATGAGCAACTATCAAATTTCATTTTCTCTCGATTACTTTATATCAAAACAATATTTTTTTCTGAAACTCATTGTTTTATTAATTTCAAATGCGAAATGAAAAAAATAGTGTGAAATAATGAATATGAGCAATATTGAGGTGGATTAAATTACAACGGCTATAACACAAAACTGCTCTATCTTAACTGTTTTTGATAGATCACGTTTCTCATGGAATACGTCACATTTTAAGCAATGACAGCTCTATTCATTTATGTAATTGTACTTGTCAAATGGAAATTTTGAGGCTCATATTATTTGTTAATGTTGGTGATTTCGCTATTATCTGTTCCACTCGTAGAACAAAAAAAAATTTATAATTCGCATGGAATGTTAATTTCCCACTCATTTGATTTGCAAACTTCTCACTCGTGGGAAATGACTATCATTCCATGCTCGTTAAACAATAGTCTATTTTCTGACACTAACAAGTTCATTTTCTTCATGCTGTGTACTGATATGTATACAAGATGAAAATTGAAATGTTTCTCAGTTGAATCATTCAAAGAAAATCAGAAAAAAACAACGTTTTCTGATCCCTTGTTTGCTCACAATCAGCCGATGTGAAGTTGAAATGTACTGATGTCATGATAACGTACTTGAAAACATTCCACCGAATGATGCTGAAATGAAATTAATGTACCTATGATTACCCGATTTCTTAGTAATGTGACATCTGAATAATTTGATATCTACCTATAATATTCCTCGTGAGTTTTTTTCGTGTGGCCCATGAAATTAGCAAATTGCTCCATTTCAGTCTCACTAACGTTCATGACCTGAAGAACAGTTGCGATTTGTTTCCGGAGTCTTGTTGAGGTAAACAAGTCCTCATTTGTAACACCAGAAAGATCAGCTAACTTCTTCAAAATATGATAACCACTGAGCCATCTGTTTGTGGTTTTAGCATTAGCGAATAAATACTCATTTGATTCAGGCACGCATCTTGATCTGACAGACAATATAACATCAATAAGCAATTGAATTTTCTTAGGGAACAGAATAGCTACTGGCTTACTACCTTTACCTTCAGTAACAATCCTTTTGAAATGTTCTGTTAATATGTTTTCACTTTTCGTAATAGATTCCAAAAATTCTTCAGGGTGATTAGATTCTGCATTACTTGTGTAGGTCGCCAGTTTCAAAAACTGAACCTCTCCAATTCGTTTTCGGTTTATCAATAAAGTTAAAGCCATAACACACTCTGTTAATTTCCGGAAATGAATATATATCTGTTCATTTGCTTTGATATGCTTGTTCGCTTCACTTGCTTCGTCCATGACATATTTCTGAAATTGTTGAAGTTCTGAGGTAAGTGGAAACGTTTTAGGCTTCTTCCATTGCTTCTCGTTCAGATCTTTCAGGGCAAGACTGGAAATTTCTGAATTAAAATGAGACGATACTAACATTTTGAAGCGTTTGATATTTTTGAGTGAATCTTGTGAGTTTTCGTAATGCATGAATTTACTTTTTTTGATCATCAGTTTGGTTGCAATATCACACACTTGAGTTAGTCTTGTACTCATGTGAAGTGCCAGACTAGGAGACTTGTAATTTCTGTTTTCCTCATCATATCCACTAATAATTTTTGTAGCAGTGACAATGTTATCAAAAAACTCTGGTTTGAGGGCATCAAATAAGTTTCGAATACCAACTGTTTGCTTCAAAACAATGAGTAGCCTGCCCAGCTCTCTCATTTTGTTAGACACCATTGTAGCCAATTGTACTCGTTTGTGCCTTCTCAACTGGCTCTCCTCATAGCTACAAATCAATACGTCTTCCATAACTGTTTTAGATATCTCATCTACACGCATCTTATTCAAAACTTCGGTTTTCAATCTCAGGGACTCATAGAACTCTTTGTTTTGGCTTGAACATATATAGAAAGCTTGAGATTCTGATAAGTGATTATTTTTCATATTTGTTCATTTTACAATTATTTTTGTGTCTTCCTATGTACTGTTTTTTGAAAAATCCTAGGCAAAAATTACATGGAAAATAATTTGCTCTGGATTCCTCGGTTCTTGGTTTTCTAACAGGGCGTGTTTTTTCTGTTTGGCTGTTGAGTACATAATTTCCCTGTCTACGGAGACTATCTAGTAGGATTTTTCATTGGGAATCCATTTTTGACAAGCTTGATATTTCTCTTACAGCCCCTTCACTTCCATGTCTTCGTTGCAGATGCCGAGGAAAGTGTGTAACTTCAATATAGCAATATGGGCAACACTTTTTTTTGTCCAGCGTCTCTTGTTATCGATTTTCTCTAAATTTAAATTTGATTCTTTCTGAAACATGATGCTTTAATGGAATAATCGGTTGAGTTAATATTTCAATACATTACTTCAACAATGTTTCCAAAATTATGAAGGACTTTATCAGTGTTCATATCAAAACGTTTACTTTTTGGTACAGATTCCTGCACAGTTTGTGAATCTTCAACCAACTGGAAACCCTATAAAGATGGAATATGCAGTATCTATTCAGATAGGTTGAAATACCTCTGAAATATCTGCGCAATTAATATTTCCTTCGCGTTCTAGAAATTGTGTTGTGAAACTCAGTTCAGTAGGCGATGTTTCACACTGAAATGAATAGAATCAATAACTCGTAAAAGAAAAGTATATTATATATTTACCAAATCAGAACTTTCATTATGTGAAAAAGAAACTAGTTATACTGTTTCTCTTCCATTAGAAACTGTACTTCCTGGTTGTTGCAGCTAAAATTCATACATAAAAGTAGTTCTTTCAAAATATTGAATGACCACCGAATTGCAAGAAATAAGAGTCGTAAATACATAAGAGCAGTTGAGGTTAATGAAGTTGAATCACTTCTTAGAGTTGAATAATCAAATATCGAAACAATATAATTTCGACTCTATTACAGAGTCAAAATCAGATATGAATCAAGAAATATTTTCTTTATTTTTTTTTACAGTGATATTCAGTACCTAATGAACTCAATGAAAACTTATAAACCGAATATCGTACCTCGACAAGGTTTTCTAAGTATGCGTATGTTTTCATGTTATTTTCCACAAAGAACATTTTTTCAGCTGATAGTTTTCTTTCAGCTCCACTACTTGAAATTATATTTTCATTTGCCCTTTCTTCTTTAGAAATCTGAGGTTGTTCTGAAAGACAGTTTTCATTTGAAACGAATATTTTTGGAATTGGTAAAATTTCTACACTTTCAGAACCAGCAGCTTTCTCAAGAATTTTCGAGGGGGGAGTCTGAAAATGAACAAAGAAAGCAAGTATAATATCAACCATCTGACACTGTTTCGTTTATGTATTTGAAGAGCACAAGGGATAAACAACGGAAGTCTATTTTTTGCCAAATTTATTTTTATATATAAAATGTTTCCTTTCAGAAAGCTGCATTTTTTGGTACCTGAATGAATGGAAATATCGATAAAATTCACATAGAAAACTTGGGGGATACACCTAGGACCACTGCACAAAAAAGTAACCTTGCAGACTTATAAGGAAAATACAATTTTCTGTTGGCCATCCTAGACTAGCTTATTATCGCGTTTCATATTATGGTTCAAGGGATATTCAATGAAAGTGGCGAATTCAAGCTTCCAAAAAATATACAGTGTGGTCCAACGAAAACTTAACACCTCGATTTTCCGGCGTTAACATGAAAATGTGGAAAATCGCTCGAACCCGTCAATTGCTGATTCGAGGGGGAACAACTTTTCCGCTGTTTTCATCCCCGTGACTTCAACCCCCTAACGGGGGTGAGCACAACCCCTTGATTTTGAATAGGGATGAGGGGTGTTGAGATACCTCATTTTGAAGATCTTATCGTGTACTATCTGCCCGTAAAATTTCACTTCAAAATATCCATCGATAATGAAATAACAGCGAAAATAGTGAAAGAGGCAATATGGAATTTATCTCGAGAATATTATTCGTATCCGACGCATTTCAAAGGTATTGAGTGGTTAATTTTTTGTCCAAAAAAGTAGACGGACCTTGTTTTTGTACCTTAGTCTATCGTGAATTGTTAAGAACGGTACAAGTGTGTACAAGCGATTGTAAATTTGTAGTGGAATTAAAATTGTGTATTCCGTAGAAGAAAGGGTGGAAATGATAAAATTATTTTTCCGAAATAACGACTCTGCGCGCACAACAGCGGCTTTATTTAACGAACGACATCCTGGAAAAAATGTATCCGCTGCTTACGTTGTGCAACTGGTTGCCAAATTTGACGCTACTGGGTCAGTTGGAAACAAAAAGAGGGTGCATGAAAGAGACGAAGCGAGGGACGTGGCTGTCTTAGGTCATATAGCAATGGATCCGACCGTTAGTACTAGGAAATTGTCCGAGGTATCTGGTGTTTCACGCACAACAATCATGAGAATCCTGAAACAACATAAATTCCATCCGTATAAGATACGATTGGTTCAGGAACTGAATGAGGATGATCCCGATCGCCGACTCCAGTTCTGTGAAGTGATCAGTGAAATAATTAACTGCAATCAAAACTACATGTTCGATATCTGTTTTTCGGACGAGTGTTCATTTTACCTTAACGGCATTGTAAACCGGCATAACTGTCGGTATTGGTCAGATGAAAATCCACGATTATTTCGTGAGGTGTATACACAGCGCCCCCAAAAATTAAATGTTTGGGCGGGTATTTATGGAAATCACATAATCGGCCCTTTTTTTCTACCCGGTAATCTCACAGGCCAACTTTATCTCGATCTATTGGAGAACGCTATTTATCCAGCCCTCGTGCAAGTATTGGAGAATGCAGAAGACCATCAAACGATCATTTTCCAACAAGATGGCGCACCACCTCACTTTGTTCAACCGGTGCGTCAGTTTTTAGATGACAATTTTCCTCACGCCTGGATTGGAAGAAGGGGACATATTGAGTGGCCACCCAGATCACCGGATCTGGCTCCACTGGACTTTTTTCTATGGGGTCACCTGAAATCCAAGATTTACGCTACCCAGCCTGAGTCACTGGATGATTTGCGAACTCGGATCATTAATGAATGCCGTCAAATTACACCAGACATCTTGAGTAATGTACGTGAACGTTTTCAGCAAAACTTATATTACTGCATGGAAGTGGATGGTGCCCATTTCGAACATTTAATAAAGTAATCACAAAAGTACGTACTCTTCCACTCTTTTACCTGTCATGTCGTTATCGATGGATATTTTGGAGCGAAATTTTACGGTCAGATAGTACACGATAAGATCTTCAAAATGAGGTATCTCAACACCCCTCATCCCTATTCAAAATCAAGGGGTTGTGCTCACCCCCGTTAGGGGGTTGAAGTCACGGGGATGAAAACAGTGGAACAGTTGTTCCCCCTCGAATCAGAAATTGACGGGTTCGAGCGATTTTCCACATTTTCATGTTAACGCCGGAAACTCGAGGTGTTAAGTTTTCGTTGGACCACACTGTATATGAAAGTGCTGTATTTTTGAAGAGAAATTACGTTTACACAACCACATTATTTCACCAGACTTGATACCGTTATCTAAAGAAAAAATGGAGATATCAAGGAGATATCAAAATATTGTAGCGAGCAGTCACGAACGTCCCTCTTGAATTTACTCCATGAAAAATCAATTTTGGGCATGAAAAAAAAGAAATGTATTGATTATTGCATCAATTATAGGTTTATTACCTTATCTATTGCCAAATATGACACTATAAGTTCCTCATTTACCGCCTGAATAAAAACATTCATAGGTTAAATTTGGATAAGGTGGCCAACATATAATCATTATCAGAACTGCCACAAAAATTAAAATTTCATCATTTTTCACAAATGTAATAGGTAATTATATTGCATTTAGGTTAGGTTAGGTCCAAAGTGAGTGGGTCTATTCGACCCTCCACCACAACCCGCAAGGGTTTATTGTGGCTCACACCTATTCACACTCGACCAAATAAACCCAGCTTCTTAACGAAGCCGATTAGTTTGTATGGTGAGTGCTCTTTCAGGTCAGCTCTGCCGAACTCTAAAAACATGAATTGGTCCCCAGCGGGGCAGGCACAAAGTATATTGCATTTAAGGGGATATCTTTTGATAGGCAGGTCTGATAGCCGGAATATGTGTTAACATAAATAAAATAGCATGTTTTTAAGGAGTGTTTCTCTCACTTGCTGAAATTACATAACTGTCTTGCTAATAACCCGAATTGAAATTGAAAAACGCTTTATTGAATAATTACAGTTATTGGACATCATCTTTCCCGTGTGCTCTTCGTATGATACCGTTACTTTGCATTGCAATCATACAATTTGCAGAGCTGATAGGCTGTCAGATATGCTGCCGCAGTTCGTTGTATTTGAACAAATAGACGAGCTATTATTTGAACCAGAATGGCGAGATCCATCTAATTTTTCCTGAAAAAATTCTATTGGAACTTCTAAGTAACCGGGGTTAACTTCAGGACTGGATGAAAGATGTCTTCTTAGTGGACTGCTTAGTTGATCACAATCCTGGAATTTTTTGTTATTTGTACTGTCAGGATATAAAAACACAATTTTGAAGTTATTATTCGAAACAAAACATTGATTTTACTGCTTACGTGCCGAAGAGTACCTATTCTAAAAGCCATAACTTGGGTAACTAATTTAATTGAAGTTATTATTTAAAACACAACATTAATTCTACTGTTTACCAATCAGAGTACCTAATCCGAATGTCATAACTTGGGGGTACTAATTTTCTTCCCAACAAAGTTACAAGAGTTTATGAGGATGACAAAAATATTTTTGCCATGTCATAGTGGTAGATAATGAATATGACGGCCAGTTCAAGATGACGAATGTT